ACTGAGTTGTATGGATTGACATATACTTACTAACTACTGGTACACCTTTTTGCAGTTAAGTTGGACGAATGCCCGATATATTTGGTCGTGTGCCCGATATATTTGGCGGTGAGTTGTATGGTTTGACATTTACTTACTAACTACTGGTACACCTTTTTGCAGTTAAGTTGGACGAATGCCCGATATATTTGGTCGTGTGCCCGATATATTTGGCGGTGAGTTGTATGGTTTGACATTTACTTACTAACTACTGGTACACCGTTTTGCAGTTAAGTTGGACGAATGCCCGGTATATTTGGTCTTGTGCCCGATATAATTGGCCATGTGCCCGTTAAATTTGGCACCCGAATGTCGTGTGCCCGATATATTTGGCGGTGTGCCCGATATAATTGGCCGTGTGCCCAAGCAATTGCCCATGTGCCCGAGAATTGTGTCGTGTGCCCGATGAAAATGGAAATCACGCAATAAAAAGTCAATTCAATATCGAAATAGTCGTCAAACGACACATGCCGCATCGTTGCTATGACGTCATATACCAACGTCCATGTTGCCCATGGCCTCCGCGCGTCCATCGTGGGTGCGTACCTTGAGGTAAATCGAAAAATGAGCTCTGCGGACGACAGATTCAAAAATATTTGGTGGGAGTTGAAGTATGGACGAAGCGTTGAAGTACAGGGGCAACACTATACTTTATTCAAGTCATTCCATTGAAGTCGATAAATATTTTTGAATCTGTCGTCCGCAGAGCTCATTTTTCGATTTACCTCAAGGTACGCACCCACGATGGACGCGCGGAGGCCATGGGCAACATGGACGTTGGTATATGACGTCATAGCAACGATGCGGAATGTGTCGTTTGACGACCATTTCTATATTGAATTGACTTTTTATTGCGTGATTTCCATTTTCATCGGGCACACGACACAATTCTCGGGCACATGGGCAATTGCTTGGGCACACGGCTAATTATATCGGGCACACCGCCAAATATATCGGGCACACGACATTCGGGTGCCAAATTTAACGGGCACATGGCCAATTATATCGGGCACAAGACCAAATATACCGGGCATTCGTCCAACTTAACTGCAAAAAGGTGTACTTACACTAACTAATCCAACAACCTCCCACAATCCCAGCGTGTTAAAGAGTGCCCAATCTAAAGATCTGACGTTATTCGTTGCTGCGAAAACTTGCTAGTCGGAAGCCAACTCGTACGCAGCCTCGGCGGCCTTGACTTCGGCGTCCAACTGCAGCCAGCTCTCAGGAAACAAATCGCCAGAGATGACGCGCTTGGCCATATCCAGCTTGGGCTCTTTGTGCTTGGGGTTGTTACACAAGTCGATCGTTTTAGCCTCGGCCTTGGACTCATCGCTGCACCAACTTTCGCACCACAACCATTCCTGCCAAATATATATATATATTAGTCTATATATATATATATATAGTTTCCTACCTGGGGCAAGGAAAAGATGGGAATCTGGTGCTGCGCATAGTTGGGCAAATCTTGGTCCAAATTCGATAGCGAGTTGGGATCGGCACTCAACTGATCGTAAATCGCACGCAGCGAATCACCTGCCGCCATGCGCTTGAATTTGACCAAGTCGACCACGTACAAGGCACTAATGTGGTACGGCTTGCCCCGCAAGTGATCCTTCCAGTACCTTTAACATCAAGTGTCAGCGTCTAATAACTCATACATTCTAATATTATATATATATATATATATATATATATATATATATATATATATATATATATGTATTCCAATATTATACATAGTCGAGTATTATATATACATGTATTACAATATTACACAATATTCGAATATTATATACATAGTCGAAATAATAGATACATATATATATCACTATCCTAAATTTCTTCAAATTATATATATATATATATATACAGCCATCCGCCACAACTCGGTACAACATAGTCAGATGCCGTCTTTTAAAACCACCACGACCACCATCGAGATAAAACATGGCTTTGCCCAATATGTAGAACTGTCTAATCATTTCAATATATATATATATATATATACACAATCCATTCAAAAAATATATATAGAGCGAGAGAGAGATACGATAAGTTGTTAGTGTTACCCCTTGCGCCAAAACTGAAACCCGACGTTGCGCGAGTCACAAAACGGAGTGTATCCATATGCTTTGCCGTGCAGATCCATGGTCCAGAGCTCTTTCAAGTCGGCGCGGACGACCTGGTCGGCGTCCACGTAGATGATTTTGTCGACCCCGAGCGGAAATAGCACGTCCAGAAACAGGATTTTGTAGCCCCAGATGATGCGCTGCTTGTCTGTCTGGCGCCGCAGCCAGTTGGGCCACTTGTACGTGACCAGGCGGATATCCATGCCAAACTCGGCTTGGAGCGCCGCCACACTATTTTTGAAATCTAGATATATATTAATGAATCGAAAAAACACTACAGATAATTGTTTGTTGAATACCTGGGGACAAGAAGTTTTCCAAGAGCCAGAACGTCACGGGGTTGTTGGTGCGCTTCAATACACTCAACATCATGAGCTTGAGCATTCGCTCATACAAGTGCCCTACACACAACGTATATCAGGATATATATATAATATATCGATTTTAAATATTTATGAATATATACATATTTATGCATAAAACTTACTTTCATCAGTATATATATATATATATATGGCATCAACACCCCCAAAAACAATCGTACTTATATATATATATACTGTATATATCAATTCATATATATAATATATATACTACTATATATCGCGTCAAAACCCACCTGTAGCCAGCGAAAACACGTGAATTGTATCGCCCTTGCGAGTTTCCAGCTTGGAACTGCCAGCGCCCCACTGCACCAGAGAAGTCCACACCGACGTTTCTTCTGGTTGGGCGGGTGCTTTGGGCGCCTCGGGGCCGTCGTCCAGCAGTCGCACGCCTTCCTGGCCCGGCTGCTTCTTCACCTCCAACTGCAATGTCTTGGATAAAAAGTCATATACAATCACAGGCACTGTGTCCACGCGTGCGTCCTAGCCAAGTGTCTTAATATCTCCATCAAAAAATATACCATATTCACCAATATCTCAAAATATTATATTTCGAAATGACATCGTTCAACCAAATGAGCATGTAGCTAGCTAGCCACTCATTCGTAAAACAACCATTTACAGACGACACAAAATTAAAATGTGTGCTGGGTATAACCAACCAAACTCGTAAAACAATAAATATACATTTTGGCTGATCGGACAATATATATATATATTGTCATCTCAACCAAATTCCATATTCAACACTAGCAGCTAAATCACTTGATTGGACAATATCAACAAGAAATTCATTTATTTTGGCCGATAGGACAATCGATATATATTATACCCATCTTGGCTTAAAGAATAATATAGGTATAAAATACATTTTGGCTGAAAATACAATATGTATATATATATAATACATTGTGGCTAAAAGAACAATATAATATATACACATAGATATATATATACTGCACCCACGTTGGATATAAGCTCATAAATAGTCGAATGGCGTCCTTTGGCAAGTCCCAGCTGCCATACACCAGGTGCAGCTTGCAGCTGAAAGTACCCGAGGTTCTTCATCACAACTGTATCCTTGTGGCTGTGCAACTTGGCCACACTTCGCTCCAACACGAGTTGCAATCCGTTCGGAAGCGTAGGGTACTGGGCGTTGGTCTTGTCCACACACTGCCCGTACACCAGTACGTCCTTGATTGTAAATGTAGCCGACGCATTCTGCTGGATGTTGTCGATATCGACATCGCTCTGCACCATCTGGACATTCCACAGCTCCGGGGTTTCAATGTTCAACGTGAGCACGGGATGACGTGGCAGCCTGTCAAACTCGACCAGGGACGACGAGGTCCCACCCCATAGAAACCGATAAAACCGCTTGAGCGGAAACTCGTCGTAGCTTGGAGGCGGTACCAGCACGAGGGTGATTTTAGCATGCAAAACGCTGTGCAGCATACGCAGGATGCCACTGGCGCGCTGTGCCGTGTCGCTCAACGGGTCCAAGTAAGCCACCACGTCCAGCGAAGACGATCCAGACGGTGTCACATACGAGTAGGTCGGTCTTTGCACGTCGTCGGGCAAAACGGCGGCCACGCGTGGGGTTTTCAGGTACGAGTCGACCATAGAGAGCACGACGTTGAGCTGGAGGGTCTTGTCGGCTGCGTCCTCTGCAGTCAACACATTGTGCTTGAACTGGCTCACGTACGCCTTGGACACTGCCTTGGACCGTGTCGCAGATTCATAAGCGACCAACCCGTCAAACAACGAAGGTGTGACAGGCGCGACTAGCTCCAACGGCCGACCGTTGACGTATATCACATGCTGGTCGGGTATGACTTGCAAAGATGACAGGGATGGAAGGGTGGCAGAGAAGGGGGGTGCAACTGCTGAGAACAGCCACGTACTCAACTGACTGAGCACTTGTTCGTCGTCAGAAGTGGACGACGATGCATCCACTCGCGACTGCACAAACAAGCGCGCATGCGATATAGCATCGGCTTCGGGTTTTTTACTCATCAACCGAAGCACCTACAGGGAGGAAAACAACATGGTGAATGTATATATATATATATATGTGTGTTGGAATAGTATCAAGACAATTAGATATATATAATATATATGTATACATGCACATAGCGTATCGAAGGATCATGGAACATGACAGATATAGCATAGAGTGTATATATATATATATATATATATATATATATATATATATATATATATATACACTCTATGCTATATCTGTCATGTTCCATGATCCTTCGATACGCTATGTGCATGTATACATATATATTATATATATCTAATTGTCTTGATACTATTCCAACACACATATATATATATATATACATTCACCATGTTGTTTTCCTCCCTGTAGGTGCTTCGGTTGATGAGTAAAAAACCCGAAGCCGATGCTATATCGCATGCGCGCTTGTTTGTGCAGTCGCGAGTGGATGCATCGTCGTCCACTTCTGACGACGAACAAGTGCTCAGTCAGTTGAGTACGTGGCTGTTCTCAGCAGTTGCACCCCCCTTCTCTGCCACCCTTCCAT